ATTGAAGCCCATTGAGCTTATCATTGAACTCCATGGTTTGAGATCTTGTTATGGGCCTCTTTGGAGTTTCTAAAGCTTCATCCTTGTCCTTCAATGGAGTAGAGCTTCCTTGGATGCTATCAGATCGACCCCGACTCATAGTTGGGTAAATATATTGCATACGATTGTTTATATTTCTTTTCAAGAAGTATATTTGAACGTTATCACTCAACCTATTCTAAGGCTATCTATCTTATAGAGGCTTTGTAGACTAATGCATAGCATGGAATTATGGTTGGTTCCTTAATAGTTGTGGCTTTAACGGTCGAGTCATGTGTATATTTTTTGGCCTTGCCTATGTTGTTCTTTTATCATCATAGCTTGAACGTATACTTGTTAGAGTTTAATGATTATCTTAGCTAAATTCATGGTAAGTACAGGTTATATGTGGGTTCTCTCGATCCTTTATGGCATCAGGTGCCTGTTCATCTCAATGGGATTTGAGGCGTGACAAAAGTGGTATCAGAGCAGGTCATCCTAGGGAGTCTACAAAGCCGTGTCTATGTAGAGTCCTACTTATGGATGTGTTGTGCACCACATCTATAGGTAGGAAGCTACGAGACATTTAGGGGTTGTCTCTGTCTTTCATCTCTTAGATCATGCAATAGAACCAATGTTGTAGGTGAATCGTCTCTAACTTCTTAATTGCTTTATTATAGTAAAGATCCTGGTTACTAGAAGGAGTAAGAGTACATGTAAGCAAATAGATGTGGATGTTGGAGAAGGGACTAGCCAAGCACCACCTAGGTATGCTGAACAAAGCGAGGCACATGATGAGACTCTATCATAGACTTCCCCGACACCTCCATCTCCAGAAGAACTAAGGATGGAAGATGAACCTCAGGAACCCCCTATTAATGCTATCGAGCAAGATTTAAGTAATGCAGTCCAATTATTGACTCATATAGTTGCTGGCCACGGCCAAAGGCAAGAAGGTCCAGTTGCAGGTACTAATGGTGTAGATAGAGCAGCTGGCACGCGGATACGTGATTTCCTTAATTTGGACCCTCCATCATTCACCGGGTCAGATCCTAATGAAGATCCATAGGTCTTTATAGATCAGACCCAACACACTTTGGATGATATGCATGTAAGTGGTAAAGAAGCACTTGAACTAGCAACAAATAGATTTAAAGGGTGTGGTTGCATTGTGGTATGAAGGTTGGAAGCAATCTAGGGGAACTGATGCACCTTCAACTATGTGGAAATAGTTCAAAAAGGCATTCCTTGACCATTACCTGCCATTGGAGATCCGAGAGGCCTGTGCAGATCAGTTCTTAAATCCCCACCAAGGAAGTATGAGCGTTAGAGATTGTACCATTGCTTCATTGAATAAAGATATGGATACAACAAGGATGCAAGCTTTTGCACAAAAGTTGGAAGATCAAAGGCAAAGAAGAAGGACACAAGAGTCAGAAATAGGGCATTCTAAGAGGGCCGGATCAACGAGGCAATTTATGTCATCCCAAGGTGAGTTTAGGCCTTGGTTATTTAATAGACCGCATAGGCCATCATCTTCCTACTCTACAACTAGTGCCCACCTCGGTTTCAAGAGTCTAGGGGCAATCAGTTTGGGCAAAGAGGTGAAATCCAAGGTTCACGAACAACGGGGTACCAAGAGCATGGAAGTATGAGACAATCAAGACCTCCTCGACAGTCTTGTAAATAATGTGAAAGAAATCATTTAGGTGCATGTCGATTTGGGACAAATGTTTGTTTTTGGTGTGGTACATCGGGTCACATGATGAGAAATTGCCCTCATAGGGGTGTGGGTGGTGTGGGACAACCTACTAGATCAGTTGTTGCATCATCATCATCAACACCTTCTTTAGGTAAGGGATAGATGCGTACTGATTGTGGTAGAGGAGCTAGGGGAACATCTAACTCTAGTGGAGTTCAGAATCGCACATATGTTGGGGATCGACAAATTTGGAAGCCTGCCGGATGTGGTTACAAGTACATTGTCCATCTTTTCACATATGCATTAATTGATCTGGGGTCTACACTATCATATGTCACTCTATGGGTTGCTGGGAAGTTTGAAAAAATACCAAAACTATTGGTTAAACCATTTGAAGTGTCTACGTAGGTTGGTGAGTCTATTATAGCTAGAAGGGTCTATCGTAATTGCATAGTAACTGTTTGGGAACATGATACATTGGTTAACCTTATTGAACTAGAAATGATAGATTTAGATGTTATAATGGGTATGGATTGGTTAGGTTCTTGTTATGCCACGGTAGATTGCCGAACCAATATAGTGCAGTTCCATTTTCCAAAAGAGGCAGTCCTCGAATGGAAAGGCAATATTGGGGCGCCAAAAGGTAAATTTATTTCTTATCTTAAGGCAAAAAAGATGATGTCCAAAGGATACATACGTCATCTGGTCAGAGTGAAAAATATAGATGCAGAGCCACCAACTCTTCAATCCATTCTGGTGGTAAATGAATTTCCCGATGTATTTCCTGAAGATCTTCCGAGTTTGCCTCTAGAACGAGAAGTAGAGTTTGGTATTGATGTGATTTCAGATACTCAACCTATCTCCATCCCTCCATATAGAATGGCCCAAATAGAATTACAGGAGTTGAAGGAGAACTTAAAAGACTTATTAGAAAAAGGATTCATAAGGCTTAGTATGTCCCCATGGGGAGCACCAGTATTGTTTGTACGTAAGAAAGATGGCTCGTTGAGAATGTGCATTGACTACCGACAGTTGAATAAAGTAACAATTAAGAATAAATATCCCCTCCCTAGAATTGATGATTTGTTTGATCAGTTACAAGGTGCTAAGTGTTTTTCAAAGATCTACTTGAGGTCGGGTTATCACCAAGTGAGGGTCAAAGACAAAGATATACCCAAGATAGCGTTCCGAAAACGGTATGGTCATTTTGAGTTTTTAGTCATGTCATTTGGGATAACAAATGCACCAGCGGCTTTTATGGATTTGAAGAACAGGGTGTTCAAGCCATTTTTAGTTATGTTCGTGATAGTATTCATATATGACATTTTAGTGTACTCAAGATCGGAAGAGGACCATGCTAATCACTTGCGGCAGGTTTTACAAATTCTTCGTGATCGTAAGTTGTATGCGAAGTTCTCCAAATGTAATATTTGGTTGAAATCTGTGGCATTCTTAGGTCATCTTGTATCTAATGAAGGAATAAAGGTCGATGCTCAAAAGATAAAAGTCGTGAAAAACTGGACAAGACCTACAACGCCTACGAAGATTTGTAGTTTTCTTAAATTGGCAGGTTACTATAGAAGGTTCGTTGAAGGATTCTCTTCCATTGTTGCACCCTTAACAAAGCTAACACACAAAGCAACCAATTTCCAATGGAGTGATGCATGTGAAAGAAGCTTCCAAGAGCTGAAGAATAAATTAAACTCTACACTTGTATTGGTACTTCCAGAAGGCACAGAAGGGTATGCAATGTATTGTGATGCTTCAGGAGTGGGCTTAGGATGTGTATTGATGCAGCATGGTAAAGTAATAGCTTATGGCTCAAGGCAGCTGCGGCCACATGAGAAAAATTATCCAACCCATGATCTAGAGCTAGCAACAGTTGTATTTGCTTTGAAGATATGGAGCCACTAGTTGTATGGGGTCCATGTTTACATATTACTGATCACAAGAGTTTGCAATATATATTTAAGCAAAATGACCTAAATCCGAGGCAGCGAAGGTGGCTTGAGTTATTAAAAGATTATGACATTGATATATTGTATCATCCTGGGTAAGCAAATGTAGTAGCTGATGCATTAAGTAGTAAAACAATTTCTAGCACCTATAGGCAGCCCCTGGAAAAACATGGAATAACTAAGGATCTATACCAACTAGCTAGCTTGGGGGTTCGCCTTCTTGAGTCTCCGGATGAACGGGTGATCGTGCAGAATGTGGCAGAATCTTCATTAGTGGATGAAGTGAAAGAGAAGCAGTATAAGGACCCTATTCTATCACAAATTAGAGAGAATGTACAAAAAGGTATGACAATGGCATTTGATGAGCTTACGGAAGATGAAGTACTCCAGTGCCAAAATAGATTGTGTGTTCCCAATAAATGGACTAAGAAAGAGGATTATGATGGAAGCACGTCATTCAAGATATTGTGTCCATCTGGGGTCAACCAAAATGTATCGCAACTTGAAAGAAGTGTATTGGTGGGGTGACATGAAGAAGAATATTGCAGAATTTGTTGCTCAATGTCCAAATTGTCAACAAGTAAAAGTAGAGCACCAAAAGCCTAGAGGTTATATGCAGCGTATAGAACTTCCAATTTGAAAGTGGGACATGATCAACATGGATTGTCACTGGTTTTCCTCGTTCATTTCGGAAGTTTGATTCTAAATGGGTAATTGTTGATAGACTGACCAAATCAGCGCACTTTTTACCGGTCAAGACTACTTATACAGTTGAAGAGTATGCAAGGTTGTACATTAAAGAGATAGTTCGTGTACATGGAATGCCAATCTCTATTATATCTGATAGGGGAGCTCAATTAACTGCAAATTTTTGGAATTCATTTCAGAAAAATTTGGGAACACAAGTGAATTCAAGTACAACCTTTCACCCCCAAACAAATGGTCAGGCAGAGCGTACAATTCAAACACTTGAGGATATGCTACGAGCTTGTATACTAGACTTAAAGGTAGTTGGGAAGATCCATTTGCCGCTGATTGAGTTTACATACAACAATAGCTACCATTCAAGCATTAAAATGGCACCTTATGAAGCATTGTATGGTAGAAAATTTAGATCACCAATCAACTAGTTTGAAGTGGGTGAAATTGCCTTATTTGGGCCAGATATTGTTCATCAAGCTATGAAAAAATTTAAGGTGATACAACAACGTCTAGCAACATCTCAAAGTTGACACAAATCATATGTAGATGTTAGAAGAAGAGGACTAGAGTTTTCCATAGGGGATTGGGTGTTCTTGAAGGTGTCTCCAATGAAAAGGGTAATGAGGTTTGGTAAAAAAGTGAAGTTGAGTCCCCGCTATATAGGGCCATCTAAGATTATTCGAAGAGTTATCCAAGTAGCCTATGAGTTAGAGCTACCACAAGAGCTTTCAATAGTTCATTCGGTGTTTCACATCTCAATGCTTTGGAAGTATATAGGTGACCCATCTCGTATTACTCCTACTGAAGATGTACAAGTTACGGGAGATCTCACTTATGAAGAAGTACCTATTGCTATTCTGGATCGACAAGTTAGGAAGTTAAGAAATAAAGAAGTAGCTTCTGTAAAAGTATTATGGAGAAACCAACAAATAGAAGAAGTTACATGGGAAACGGAAGAAGCAATGAGATTGAAGTATCCTCATCTCGTCCAGACAATTGAGAAAGATGACAATGTTGAGTTGAGGCATTGACAAGTAAGTATAAGTTTATCTAAATTATGGATTAATAGTACTACATAACTTAGGCTTGAACTTGTTTGGGCTGAATAACCATGCTAACATTCGTGAACAAATGTTCTTAAAGGGGGGCTAGGGAGGATGTAACATCCCAAATTACGCATAAGTTAGTTCTGTTCATATGATACTTGGCATATACTGATTCTTATAGGTGAAGAACTATGTTTCTTATATGATTAGTGTTGATTTAAACTAGCTTGGAAGGTGATGTGATGCCTTGCACGTTTCAGCATGTGTACTGCAAGTTAACCCTGACGGAAGTTTTTAAACTTGAGATAGTAAGGTGGTAATTGAGTTTAAAGCTCAAATTTAAGTGCTAAGTTAAGGCAAAAGGAACTAATATTTAGAGAATGGAATAAAATGGTGAATTTCTTGCTTGGCTTAATTAAGTTACTAGCTACATCACCTACTTGCGCTATATGGATATAGTTAAAGGGCCCAAGGTTAATGGATCATATTTAGGCTTATATTAATGGGCTCACTTGAGGCCAAACTAAGTAACAGAAAATAAAAGTGAAAGGAAATCCAGCAGCCAAATCTGCCAAGGCCCAATATAGATAAGTGTCACGACCCAAGCCTAGGGCTTAGACGTGACATGGCGAATGAGGAACCCGAAGGAACCCCAAACAAGCCTCTCAAACTTGTCATCACACTTCATCGGTGGCGAAAGTACATTCAACATTAATTAACGGGAAATAGGGACTAAGGGCAAACCATTTCAAAATGACATCATAGAACAAGAGTCAAGCTCATTTACAAAATACTTGTCCAACGCACACCTCTACATACATAGATAGGACGGGGCCATGACATACTACCGGCTCCCCTCATAGTCAAAATACAATTGCAAGCTAAAGTCTCAAAACATAGGAGTAGGAAACATAACATAGCCCTCGAATCATTGAGGACTCACCAACAACTCGGATAAGCACCGTACTAGCCACGTGAATGGAGAGAAGGATCAAGAGTAGCTCCAGTCCCTACATGGTGACATCATGTAGGCAAAATATGCGTTAGTACTTGGAATGTACTAAGTATGCGGGGTGCAACACAACAATAGACAAGGACACAATCGAAATACAAGAAATAGTTTCATAGGCATTATGAATAACAATATGAGGATGCATGATCAAAGTGAAGTCAAAACATGTTTAAGTAAATCTATACTAATAGTAGATATCATATGTGTATGCATGATCCAACCAATCTATAACCCCAACTTAGGATGGGGGATGCCGTTCACACCCGGACACCTTGGTGGCAAGGTATAAACCCCTCACATGGTTGATGTTGGTCACACCCCAAGCATCCTAGGTGGTGAGATATAAACCTCTCACATGGTTGATGTTGGTCACACCCCAAGCATCCTAGGTGGTGAGATATAAACCTCTCACATGGTTGTCCGGTTCTTTTCCCCCGGACCGGGCATGGTCGTGCAACACTTTATATAGGAAATTCCCATTAGGCTCTAATGCAATCTCACGTATGGAATGGACATATACACAAGCTTAGTTTGTCATCAACACAACTCTGGATTTCCATACATCTCATAACTCAAGCTTTAAAGCATCGGTTCATCAATTCTCCATAGTTGGACATTTTGTCAAACACCTTGAAGGCATGTAATGGAATCAAAGAGCATGGAAAATAGGGTAGTAATTATGCAGCCAAACCAGTGAACAACCTACAACAACACCTTTTTAACACCCACAATACCACATGAAAATCTCCACATCCATTCCAAATTTAGGTTCAAGTTCTAGAGTCACAACATGCTCAAAACAATCACTTTTCATGTTTAAAATTCAATGTGCAGGAAATTATTACAAAGAACAAGACTAATTTATGAATCTTAACTTAAACCATGAATTAGTGAGTAGAATAGAGTCTAGGCACTATGGGTGGAAGGACCCATGAGTTCAACACCACATACCTTGAGTTTTTATGAAGGTCTTGAGAGTGTCTTCAATGGAAGCTTGGAACTTGGAGCAAGAGTCTCTTCAATCTTGAGGAAGGTTTTGGATTAGGGTTCTTGAGAGAACTTGAGAGAAAATGTGTCTAAGTATGGGAGAGGTGTTTTGGGAAATGTTTTAGAGATGGAAATTGAACTAATGGTATATAGGAAATAACATATGCCCTTTGGAAAAATGGTCCAACACTTAGAAAAAAAAATGAGGCAGGTGAACAGTAAAAACGCTCACTGGAAATTGCCTTTCCTGCCGGACAGATTTTACGAAAATGGGCATAACTTCTTCCTCTGAACTCCGAATGAGGTGAAACGAAGTGCGTTAGGTAGCTAACTCAAAGGGATTTCCATGGATATGTTATTAGCCACCCAATAATTTGTGTGCTAGGAGATATGACCCTACAAAGTAGACCCTCGAAAAAGGCTTCACTTGGAAATTTTGGATTTTGATACGGTTGCTCTAAAATTTGGGTTAGACCCATTTGCCACTCAATTTGACCCCCTAAACAAGAATATGAAGTCGGATTTTCGAAAAACGAAATGGATTTTTTTATATATAGCTAAACAAGTTTCCGGTAACTTCCGAAGCACATTTTAAAGAACTTTTTGGGTCATTTCAATAAGCCCAAGTAAAGGCAAGTAGGTGCATCACCTAGTTTGACCTTTTGAGTTGCTTAATGTACATAAGGAGGTGCATCACCTCCTTGACCAATTAGTGGCTGAAAATGGACCAAAAAAAGGAGGTTCTAGAGGATTTCTTTTATGGTAAAGAAGGCTCCATATAAATCCAATATAAGAAGATATTTTCACTCATTTTAACAATTAAGGAAAATCAGATTTAACTTTAGCTCTCTCTCTTTTTTCTCTCAAGGCTTAAAACAACAGCCTTATAATTCCTTCTAGGGTTCGTGAAGAACCCTCATATCTGCAAACCAAGGTAAGAGAAACACTTATGGATTTAGCTTGATTCTTCCATGGAAGACTAGGAAAACATGTTATTCATGCTTAATTATAAGTAGATGGCAGAAGTTCCCACAAGCTACTACTCATTTTTTCTTGGTTATTAAGAAACTTTTCTCTTCTTCTTTGGTTCAAGTGTGAAGGGAAGTTGAAGTTCTAGTAGATTTCAAGTTATAAGGAGAAATTGTAGAAATTGAGGTTAGGTGACTTCTCCATTTTTTTTGTCCTCCTTAAGTATGAGTTTGAGTGATGAATTATGGGTGTGCTTTCATGAAGAACTCGAGGGGGTGGTGAGTTCAATATTTGGTTGTATGATAAAGAATATTTGAGGTTGTTTTATGTGTATTGTTGTTGGGACAGCTTGGGTAATATTGGGAAAGGATATAAAAGGTAGTGTTGGACATAAAAGGAGGATGTGATGATACACATTATTTTAAGGGTTGTATGGACTCATTATCAGTCATAGTTAGCTACTTTTTTACGAGGCTAACTGTGTGATAGCTGCAAATATTAGTTTATCATGATTTATATTATTGATTAACACCTAAAAGGGGAGGCTGAATCGTGATAGTTATATTGGTCAGAGAATAAGGTATGTAATGCTATTCGATTCGATATTTCTTGGCATGAAATCTGATAATTGTGATTAATATCAACGAAGTGATTTTCCTAAGTTCTATTCCTAGTAAAGGAAATATAGAGGCAGCGTACGATCTCTTAATAGCTAACAATATTTCCCCCTCTCCTTAGTGTGTAGAATTACTTCATTATATGTTCATTACTCTATACTTGTGTAATTATCCTCCTATGTGCTAGTATAGAAATGGTATTTGCAAAGGCTAGCTTGGTGAATGCCTAGCATGGGTCGATCTCAATTCATATAGAATGGTGGTAGCTCAGGGCGAAAGCCTAGCATGAGCCGATCCCAATTTGTGTAATTATGAGGACAACATCCCAAGGGTTAAAATGCCTAGCATGGGTCATTCTCTTCTACCCCTGATCAGTTGGTCACTTGTATCACATGCCCTACAAAGATTATAAAGTATAGAAAAGTAAAAAAAAGAATGTAACTTACATGATCCCACAAAAGTAAACAAAGGTGGGTTTCTCTTCTAATCTATGCACTCATATATTGATACTTGATTTCATTTGAGCCCTTGTTTTACATATGCTATTGTCTTACATATTCAGGTACATTTTTTCGTATTGACATCCCTCGTGGGGGACGCTGCATTTCATGCTGCAGGCACGAGTACTCCAGCTAGTAGACCTCCTCAGTAGGAGCACACAACACTTAGTTACTTTTGGTGAGCTCCAACTTTATTCGGAGCTTTACTGAGTCCTTGGTAGATTCATTTCATTTTGGTATTGTATTGTAGTTAAGAGTAAGGCGGGGTCTTTCCCGACCTACTCTAAGTCTACCTATCTTATAGAGGCTTTATAGACTAATGAATAGCATGGAGTTATGGTTGGTTCGTTAACAGTTGTGGCCTTAACGACCGAGTTGTGTGTATATATTTTGGCCCTACCTATGTTGTTCTTTTATCATCGTAGCTTGAACGTATACTTGTTAGATTTACATGATTATCTTATCTAAATGCATGGTACGTACAGGTTATACGTGGGTTCTCTTGGTCCTTTACGACATCGAGTGTCTATCTGTCTCAATGGGATTTGAGGCGTGACACTCTAAATGTCAATGTACATGTTAATATTCAGATAAACATGTTAATAAAACAAATGAGGTCGGCTAGAATCATAGGTTTAAATAAACGAAGTGGATAACTTAAGCGGTTTGCTGATAAGGATCCTCTAGACTTCTTGATCTTGTATATATACTTGCGGTACTGTTTCCAGTTCTTTTATTGGGAAATTATCTTTTTTTGTGTTGATAATTTAAAAAGAAGTTATAAATAACTGAAAGGTTCTCTCTGAGTTGGAGCAGAATTTTCATGAACTGGTTCTTGTGTGGTGTTGCTCAAGGGGAACATATGTATTATATGTGTCACAACATTACCCATATATGTTG